GACAGTTTTGAAATCTGTTTATAATATAGAAAAAATAAAATGTATACAATAGAAAGTTTTTCTATATTATAAACAGATTTCAAATCTGTCAATCATTTGATTTTTTAATTTTGAATTATAATATTTTATAATTGTATCGTTGGTAGCTAAAAATAATAACGAATAATAACAAAATATTAATAATAATAATTATGAAATAATAATATTAAAAAAAATTAAACATTGTAAATATAAAAAGTGGATGCATATTAAGCCCCATCATTGATGTTGATTGCGCGTAGCTACGGCACTGACTCGGCGAGGAGAGCGAGCTATGGCCGCCTGGCGGCAAAACGCCGCGTGCGTGCTCCCGGCAGATATTTTTTCGATTTACTGGAATTGCATACAGCTACAACACTTACCCCGTATAGTTTCTTAATCAGAAATGTCCATAGAATTCGATCCTGTATAGCGAATTCGCGCTAGACAAATAACTTTTTCTAAAAATGCAAAAATAATACGTAGGAAATGCGTACCACGGCCGTTTTTTAAACTTTCATCAATATTTACACCTATTTAGAATTATGCAATATAACAACTATATATACCAATTTATTCAGGACACTCTCCTCTATCTTTTAAAATTAATTTGAATGTCCTAGCTTTTTTAGTTTCCTCGCAATATCGCATTTTCTACCCAAAACACGTGTTTTTACAAAAGCTCGTGTTTTTCAAAAACTGAGGGTGATAGAGCAATTCGGTTTTCGGATTCTTGTTCAGGACGAGAAACTCTACAAGGATCACCCAATGGGTATTAGAAAACAAAATTCGTGTTGAACAGTGTTATTTGTAATTATTTCAATCATTGCATTTATTTCAAATTTTTATTTCAACGTTTTATTTCGAATTATTATTTGATTTAATATTTTTGAGGTTATGAAAGTCTGATTGAATTTTCATATTAATTATTCCATAATTTTCAACATATCAATTCATATCAATTATTCCAAAATTTTATGCAGACGTTTATTACAAAAATAATGAATATAAAATTATTGAAGCAGCTACAGATTATATTAAAAATAGGTGCTGGTCAAAGGTCAACATTCTCGATCCCCAAGTGTAACCTACATCAATAATTTCCTTGAGCAAAAATACGGTGTGGTTGTCAATTTTATACGAAGTACTTTTATAAAAATTTCAGTCGTCTAGACTCGAGTTTTTGGGGGGAATAATTTATTAATGCTCGCCTGACAAGCGATGCTGCTGCCAGAAACTGTCACTATTACGTCAACCCTTAGGTTATTATGTATTTACGATGTGGTCAGTGAATGCGGTATTTCGCCGTGAATCTTTAACACGTTAGGGTACTAATGATCCTTGTTATTCCTCGTAAACAAAATCCTGATTAACTTGGTGACTTTTAATGTATAAACTAGTATGTGTAGTAAGACATAATTATAGTCATGTGAGTACTTCATTTTGTTGTTCAAAATCGTTACTGTATATGGTAATTTTAATTGCAACAGATGTATAAAATAATTTTAATAATTACTTGCAACAGATATATAATATAATTTTTAATTATTTCTTGTAATTAATGTATACTTGTAATTATTACTTGTAATCAATGTATATAATAATTTCAATTTTTACTAGCAATTAATGTATAAAATAATTTGAACTTATACTAGCAACAAACATACACAATAATATTAATTTTTACTCGTAAAAAATATATAAAATAATTTCAATTATTACTTGTAGTAAATGTACATAATGTTAATTATTACTAGAAATAAATGCACATAATAAAGATAATTATTACTTAAAAGAATATCAATTTTCACAACTGCGTGACATGAGAATAAATAAAAAATTGAGACCAGTAAAAAGTGTCTACAAAAAAGTGTAGAATGGTAGAGAATTAAAATATGTTTTTGTAAAAATGTCTACTGTATTTCTACCACTGAATCTACTTCTACTGACATTTTGTGCATCCTTCGCAAACGCAATTTTTCAACCCTTGTTTGCCATTAAGAAGCTCCTATTTCCATATATAATTTAATTAACGCCACGCACCGGAATCAGCGGCAGTCCCGTATTTTATACCAAGTTACTTCTTCGCTGCAGACGTTCACGAAAATCTCCATAAAATTACATTAGCACGCTCACGGGCAGAAATTACATTGCAGTAAACAGGGAACAGAAGCGTCGGCGAGATATCCCGTTAAATTTCATAAGACACGAGACAGGCGTCCCGTAATCGAGTTTCGAAAGCAAAATCTCGTTCGTCGTCGAAAAAGAATGAGAGTAAAAAAAAAGGGGAAGGGATTTCCAATCTCAAAGAGGCAACTTCATCTGCCCCCTGCCAGCTGGTCGACGTTCAACGCGAGCTTAACAACATTAATCCACAATCACAGAGTTGAAATTCCTCGGGAGATTCGACGGTGAACCTTCTCGAAAGTCCTGCTGGCAAACGTCGCTCTCTAATTTTCCAGCCGGCGTGAAAATCGCGAGAATTTCCTCGGGAAAGCTGGCTACACGCCGAACTATCGATACACTCGATCGAGCTTCGGGAACGTGAGAAACAGAGAATCCGGGTTTCGATCTGACCACAGATTATTTTTACTTAGGAAATAAATTGAATTGATAAATTTGATTACAGGAGCAATTAACTCGGAATTTCTGTTCGGATAAATATCGATTTGAAGACTGGGTTATGATGATTATTTTTAGAATTTCGAGTATGGAATTTAATATTACTGCATCGTTAAACGAGTGTATACAAATAATTTCATTTACAGAATATTTCATATGTAACCTATAACCTTATACATACATGTATGCTTTTCAATGATTTTATCAAAATATACTGTTCATACAAATTTGCAAATGGTGTGTTTTATTTGAAAATACATGGTACATTCTGCATTGTAAATTTCTAAATTCAAATGCTTTTTTAAAATTTATAAACTGTATAGTATTTTAAGTACCTTCCTTTCAATTAACCATATTGTGTTCATCTTAAATTACATATGTAACATGACACATAAATCTAAATACATGGTCAAACATTTAAGAGGTCAATTTCCTTTAGTATCTCTAAGATCACTATTCAAGAAAAGCGAATATAAATTGTAAAACACGATTCCATAAAATGTTAAAAAATCTTTAATATTGCAGTTAAATTTTGCAATTAACGATAAAAGTTGGAGGATAATTTACCCTGATTAGTATGAGTTAAAACGTGACCGAGGAACTTTCTGTTTCGCTGCAATTCCATGATTCAGTAGTACGTATCAATGTATGGTCAGACAACTTCTGACTTATCGTTGGCGTGACTACTAGAAACAAGGAAATAATACAAAATGCGCTCTGATTACCATGTGTATGTATTTACTACTAATTTTGCTATCTTCCATTAATTTATCATTTCATTTCAATGATTTATTATTGTTACTTGTTAATATGTAACTTTCATTTGCATTTACATTCATTTACATTGAACAATATATTTCGTAAAAATAATTCCTCTCGTCATTCGATAATTAATCCTATATTCGAACAATAAATTAACCTTCAATTATTAACAATTATCAACAATTATTAACATTCAGACAAGCGGTAATAAATAAGAAATAGTAAACGATTTAGCAAGGAATCCATTTTGTCGACTAGACACACAGAAAATAAGCACAGCGATGCACGCAAGCACCGGAAATAGAGAGTTTATTGTTTACAGAGCTTATTATCCGCATTAGCTTTATTAACCGATAGTGCGGTACGTAAATCGAAGGCTCTTAGAATCTTGGCCTACAGGGACCTTAGAAATGTGTGTACACCTTCCGATCGTTTATTCTGCCAACATAGTGGTTTCTAATCGCATTACCGTATTTTGACCCCCTCCTATCGTACCGTGGGTATCTCTTGCTCGTAATCCGCATTTTCCGAACGATGATGGGATTAAGGTATTAACGCGACTGATTCGAATTTATGGCTGATCGGAATACTTATGTACAACGACGGTAAAACGTTTATGTCATGAACGGAAACACGCTCGATCTACAATTTCGTTCAAATATATGCATGTTATTCAATTTTGAGACATGTGCTTTTATAAATATTGACGGGTGATATATGAAAGCTCAATTAAATTTTGAGACATTGACAAAGAAATGTGATGTATGAATGTTCTATTTAATTTTTTATAATTGTACACTGTGTGTGTATTAACAAAGAAAAGTGACGTATGAATACTTTATTTAGTTTTTCAGAATTATACAGTGTGTATGTATTGACAAAGAAAAGTGATGTATGAATGTTTTATTTAATTTTTTAGAATTATACACTGTATATGTATTGACAAAGAAAAGTGATAAAGGAGCATTTTATTAAATTTTTAGACACATACATATGTACAAGTACTGATAAAGAAATGTGATATGCATGTAGTTATTTTTTGGGGATGTTTATAAATATTAATTGAGCAAATGTCGTACAGATTAAATTATGATGCTGAAACTTCTAACATGTTTGTTCTATTTTCTGTTACAGGTGCAAAGAACCTGGAAGATATTTGAAAGAGCTTCCACCCACAGCAGTGATCATTTGCTTTCATAACGAGGCCTGGTCAGTATTGCTGAGGACAGTTCATTCTGTGTTAGACAGATCACCGGAACACTTAATACAGGAAATCATCTTGGTCGATGATTACTCTGACATGCGTGAGTAAATCAATTTTTTTTCTTAATAACATAAGAACAATTTTCTTGAAACTCTCTATACATCAATATGTATTCTTCCTATTAGCGCAATTACATTAAAAATTAATCTTCATACAGAATTATTATTACAACATAAAAATCCTCTAAACTCCAAAATTACAAACTGCTTCCCAAAATAATTATCAGTACACCCAAATTGATCAGTAGGTAAACAATTTGCAACCAATCTATTCACGTGAGTCCCAAAGTACAGTGACCAGCACCGAATAGATCAAAGGAGCACAACTAATACAAATCGAACGCGTACAAATCGCAACACGGCGTTAAGTTGAATGCATAAAGCTTTCAGTAGCTTTTGAATCGCGAGAAACTTGTCCAGCTCATCGTAGAGGAACCGATGAACGTTGGGGTGGTTCAAATAGAAACTGTGGTTCGTTATGTAGCGCTACTTGTTCGACCGAGCAAGCATATCCCTATTCAGCTCGGTGATTCGTTATCGTCAGTGTTCCGTCGTTCCACGATAGATCGATTAATCGCGATCCATTTCTCGTGAGCACACTGTAACGAGATCGGGTCAGCCTGAATGGTATACTTGAAAGATCCTGATAGGGGTGATTCAGGTCAGCTCGCTGCTATTTTCTGCGGGATTTTATTTTCTTTACGGAATTTTGCAATTATTTTGATATTTTAGCATCAAGGTGGAAACTTTAACATTTAAATTGTTAAGTTTCTAAATTTTTTAATTTGTCAATTTGAAAATTCTTGACGTGATAGGACTTCGACATTTATAATAATAACTTCATTAGTTATTTTCAGAGCTTTATATATTCTCAGTCATTTCAAATTTTCAGGTTTCTGAATTTTTTATTTTGTCAGTTTTTAAATTTTTGACGTGATAGGAATTTTTTCAGATATTTATACTGGTATGTTAGTTATTTATAAATAGCATTTCATTGTTTACCTATTTCAAATTTTCAGATTTATACATTTTTAAAGCTCTGACATGACTGGAATTTTTTCTGATATTTATAATGGCGGCTTTATCAGTTATTTACAAAAAGCTTCATATATCACAGAGTTCATATCAGTGTCATTAAGCCACCTCAAATTTATAAATTTATAAATCTCTGACGTGATAGGAATTTTTTCAGATATTTATAATATGAGCCCCATCAGTTATTTACTAACAGGAGATTTATATTTAACTGTTGACCTGAAACAACCAATCTATAATTTTTTAAATCTCCGACATGACAGGAATATTTATAATAGAAGTTTGATTAGCTATTGGCAAATAAACTTTCAAATTTCTGAATATCTTCTCAACGATAGACAGATTCTTCAATATTTCAGAGCAGCCATTCATACATCACGCTTTCAAGGAAGAACCAACATCAGCCGTTATCATTCACTTTTCACGTGTTCCGCAATATTTCTCCTGCTTATCAGTATTAAAAATTCCCCTTGCTTGCCAACTTCATCCTCGAACCCCATAAAACACCAAGATCCCGAGTTTATCTCTCACATTACTGCCCTTCACCCTAATCTTCCGACCTACGTTAATTATTAATCAAACAGCGTTTATTACACTGCCGTTATGTTCCGACAGATAAACGACGTAGCAAAACAATCAGGCGGATTGTAATGGGACATGTCGTGTGCCCTTCATAGGGTCTGCCGTGTTTATGAGCCTCACTTCCGGCCGGTAGCGAAGCTTATCTGAAGGCTTTTAAAGGGGCTTGCACGGGTTCCGAGCTCTATCGTTTCCACCACGTTGCGCTTCCCTAACCCCCCTGTCAAGGGTTAATCTCCAAAGCTTCTACACCCTCACGATTTTTACTTTCTTTCCCCTTTGTCGTGTGTGGTTTCCGTTCCTTATCCTTTCGTTTCACCTCTGACGCGCTAACACGATTTTAACATCTTCGATGATAAGGCACTTCTGTGCCTTCGACGATAAGAAACTACAACGTAACGTAATCTCGTTTTACACGTTGTCATCGTGAAATGTGGTGGACATTTTGGGATACTTGTTGAGAATGTGAGGAGGTTCATTTTATGGAGGTTAAGCTTAGGAATTAGTTTTTAATTCATTTTGTAAATTAATGGGATGAACAGTAAGGTGAGGATGTTTGTGGTCAGACACTTTGATACAAATTATTAAAGACAACGGTATACAATTTTTCAATTTCATGTTTTAATATATTAGTGTATATTGTGGAGGTCCATAAAAAATTCCCATCATTAATTTTTATATAAATAATTTATTTTAGTGTATTTGCTTCGTCAGTCACATACGAGGTCACAGTGAAAACTGACGTATGTGGTCAGACATATTATAATATATATTAAGAACATATGTACTGAATTAGTAAATTTTATTTTTCAATGTGTCAGTGTATATCTTAGTCTCAATATTAAGAACCCTCTAAAGTTCCTATCATGTGAGTTTCTTTTAAATAACTAATTTAATTGAATTTGTATCATGTGTCACATATGACCATTACAGTGAAAACTGACGTATGTGGTCAGACACTCTCTAATATACATTATTAAGAACGAGTAGATTTAATCAGTCAATTTCATCTTTCAGTGTGTTATTATATATCGCAGTCTCAATATTAAGAACCCTCAAAAATAACTACAACTTGATTTTCTTTTAAATAACTAATTTAATTGAATTTGCTTCATGAGTCACATATGACGTCACAGTGAAAATTGACATACGTGGTCAAACACTTTTTAACATACATTATTAAGAACAAGTGTACTTAATCAACTAATTTTATCTTCCAGTGAAATGTTCAAAACCTCCTGTCATTTGATTTTCTTGTAAATAATTGTTTTAAGTGAATTCATTGAAACACGTATGATTATCTAAATCAACATACTACTTCTTTGTAATCGGACAATTTTTTACTTCTACATTTCTAACCTTAAATGTACATCTTTCATAATGTCCACATTTTATACTATTCTTAAAAATGCAATTTATATTAAAAAATGTTCGAAAGATCTGCACAGTTTAATGAAAAATAATTTTCCAACGAAAACTGAACTTGACAGGTGGTTTACATTTATTAATTTGAAATTCGCGTTAACAGCAAAATGAAGTTTAAATGCAGTGAAAATGACGTAGCGGCATAACATGAACTGTCAGTACTTTTAAATTTATAAACGCAAGGAACGACGCATCGGGGTCACTTTTAATACAGAATACTCGATTACAGGTTTTTAACGGATTCCTATATTAAATGGAAATTCGAGCGCGGATAGAATGAATAAAGATATACGAACAGGTGGAAATATTTCGACCGGTTCTGGTTAGCAAATACGTTTGAATAATTCATTCGTTTCGGGTATAAACTCGGAAATAATCATTAGCCTCGCGCGAACTGCCCTGCTCCTTGAAATCCCTGTATATCTGCAGTTAAACCGAGCTAGGTAACGTTCGCGAGTTAGGGTTCTCTCGTGAAGCCGTTTTAACGAAGAATAAATCACGAATGTCTGCTAATTGCTATCCCTGGCTGGACCTTAACACTGTAATACATCATCACTCGTAAATCTGAATTTCATGCCTCTAAATCTTCACGCTTGAAACGTACGGCGAAAATCTTGAATTAATCGGATAATAACATAATCAAATTACCCTTGCGCACTGTACGAGATTCTAATTATTTAAATTACTGCGTGTGCAGGAGCGCGAACACTGTGTAGGTACAATACACAGTGTAGGTATATTGATGAAATGGTGTGTTATAGGTTATGGGTCTTAGGTTAGCTTAAAAATAATTATTCAAAGTCACAAGATTTGGAAATTTGGTAATAATGGAATTTGAGAATTTAGAACTGTGATACTTTAAAAATTGTGCTCATAGAAATTTAAAAATTTCCGACTTCATAAATTCAAAAATTCAAGAATTATCTTAAAGTCTACAATTTTTAATATTAATCAATTTGCAAAAATTCATATCAATTCTACAGTAATTTAAATAATTTTCTTGCACCGCAGCACACCTCCAACGTCAACTGGAAGACTACATGATGAACTACCCCAAAGTGCAAATCATTAGGGCGCAAAAACGAGAGGGTCTTATTAGAGCACGCTTACTCGGGGCTGCAGCCGCGAAGGCACCTGTTCTCACATACTTGGACAGCCATTGCGAATGTACCGAGGGTTGGTTGGAACCACTTCTCGATCGGATTGCTCGTGATCCAACGACAGTCGTTTGCCCCGTGATCGATGTTATCGACGACACCACACTGGAATATCACTGGCGAGATTCCGGTGGCGTGAATGTCGGTGGTTTCGATTGGAATCTCCAGGTAAGACGGCATTCCTTTCGTTGCTTGCTGGTGATTATGAAAATGCATCTGCTGTTCATCTCAAGCAATACACCATTTCAATGAAATTGCATATTGCAGTTATTCACAGATGTAGTTATTGAAATATTATTTTTTTCTCTTCATTTTATTATTCATATTCATTTCTTTTATTTTAAATGAAGTACTTAGGGCTTTTTTATGAACTGTTGGAATAAAATTAGTCGATATTAAATTTTAGGGTTTAAAATTCTTTAGTGGATGCATCATCAATAAGATTTTCTTCCACATTTGAAATGTATTGTTTACTTTATGTGCGTGTATATTTTTTTTTCTTTTGTAAGTTTGGTGAAAATATTGAATAACTATATTATAATTTGCAAGTTGCATCTACAGATTCTACTATGTAAAATAATTATGCTATTTATACATATGATGCTACGTATTCATATACATACGTGTAACGTGTACATGCATATGTAACTAATGTATACATATGATACTGCATATACACATACATGTACATATACGTATACATATACATACGTATGTGTATATGTGACTAATTTACACATATGTATATGTACACTACATATATGTATATGTATAATAGTTTGGTGAATAGAATGTGACATACTTTCACTCAAAAGAAAGAAATAAATCAAACAGAAGTGTAACACGAAAGGACCAAAAGGATCGTTCACTTTTATGGTCGTCAAAATACCGCAGAGCATTTTCTTGACTTTAGTACGGTTTTCGAGAGTTCTCGATTTCATCGTTCGATTGTCAAGAATTCTTTCTGTATTTCTGCATCAGTTCAACTGGCACGCGGTTCCTGAAAGGGAGAAAAAGAGGCACAAGAATCCCGCAGAGCCTGTATGGTCACCGACGATGGCTGGCGGCCTCTTCTCGATAGATCGAGCTTTCTTCGAACGCCTCGGCACGTACGACAGTGGCTTTGATATTTGGGGTGGCGAAAATCTCGAGCTTTCTTTCAAAACCTGGATGTGTGGAGGTACGTTCATATAAAAATTTACTGAAAGCGTATTAATACTGCGGTTCATCGTGTAAATTAAACAGAATAAATTAAATAAAATGAATTAAATAAAATGAATTAAATAAAATGAATTAAATAAAATGAATTAAATAGGATAAATTAAATAAGACGAATGAAATGTTGAATATCAAGTAAATTAAAATAAATTCAATATTGAATGAGATGAATTAAATTAAATATTAAATAAATAATAGAAGATGAAATATAAAATAAATGAAATAAAATGAATTTAATATTGAAATAAAGGTATTGGAGGATTATGACATATATCGTGTAACATATGTATAATAACTACATAATATACAAGTATATATAAAAGTATATACATTATATAGTACATATTTGCTTAATTATTTCAGACAAGCATATCCTGTTAAATAATATTCATAATCACACAACGCTCTAGTGAATCATAAAACCTGTGTCTAAACTACTGTCATTAAATAATAATAATATTTATGATAAAAGTTCGATGAGTTACATTGCGTAACTGATTTTTACATACAAAAGTTCAAAACTCAGAAACTCAGAACAAAGCTATCGACCCCATCTCTCTCCAGAAATCCCATCACCCTTCAAAGTCCATAATTCAAAATATCCCCATCCTGAACCTCCATAACTCTCTAAAATCTCCCGGAAGCACAATCCGAAAAAAGTAACGAAGCCAGCAGAAACGTTTGAATTTCCTTTGCATAATAATCACCGTAGCAGCGAGTCGAGCCATCCAATCAACATAACACGGGATCCATCCGGAATAAACGTACAATTCCTCTCGATATCTCGTCTCGATTTCTGCTCGACGAGATTTTTCACGAAACCGACGAGATCATTTCATTCGTCGAAATAACTTGTTTCACCGCAATCAGCTGGATGAAATTTCGAGACCGGTGTTACAGGCACCCTGGAAATCGTGCCGTGCTCGCACGTGGGCCACATCTTCCGGAAACGTTCGCCGTACAAGTGGCGTAGCGGCGTGAACGTGCTCAAGAGGAACAGCATACGGCTGAGCGAAGTATGGCTGGACGAGTACGCCAAGTACTATTACCAGAGGATAGGTCACGACAAGGTGAGCACTCGCTACTTAGCCGGTTGAGTTCTACCTTTGACACGGAACCCGACCGTTCAACCGACGCTCAACCGCCATCTCGATTTCTTCCTCCGTTTTTTTATTTCATTCGATTCCGAATCGACGGATCGTGCTGAAACTACGCCGCGTCTCGAGAAACTCGCGGAGCTTGAAAATAATAATGAACGGAGGGAAAGTCGAGTGGAACGCCGCTGTATTGAGGATTTCTTTCTTTAACGGAGTTTGCGGCAGCTGGGGTTTTATTCAAGGATGTTGTTACTTGGATTTTCTTGGACGTTTTTAATTGTTACGATTTTTATTAGTTTAAACATTACTGTAGTTTAGGGTTAGATACTCATTTACGGATGCAGTATTTGTGTGGTTAGTTGGTATGATTAATTTAAGCATTTAACTATTTAGGGGTTCGAAGTTACGATTTTTATTAGTTTGAAAATTAATGTAGCTTAGGTATAGGGTTAGGTACTCATTTACGGATGCAATGTTTGTGTGGTTATTTGGTATACTTAATTGGAAATTTAAGCATTTTATTTAGGGGTTTGAAATTAGAGGATTTGAGTATTTGGGGCTCCTTGAATTTAACGTTCAAAGTTCTGCAATTTCAGAATTGATTTAGAACCTCAACAATTTTAATATGATTTGAGATGTGGACATTTGTCCTCAAGTTCGAGGACTTGAGTATTTAGGGCTCCTTGAATTTAACGTTCAAAGTTTTGCAATTTCAGAATTGATTTAGAACTTTAACAATTTTAATATTATTTGAGATGTGGACATTTGTCCTCAAGTTCGAGGACTTGAATATTTGGGGCTCCTTGAATTTAACGTTCAAAGTTTTGCAATTTCAGAATTTACTTAGAATCTTAACAATTTTAATATTATTTGAGATATGGACATTTGCCCTCAAGTTCGAGGACTTGAATATTTGGGGCTCCTTGAATTTAACGTTCAAAGTTTTGCAATTTCAGAATTGATTTAGAACCTTAACAATTTTAATATTACTTGAGATGTGGACATTTGAGAATGGTATTTTTATAAATTCTATCAAGCTATCATTTGTCCTCAAGTTCGAGGATTTGAATATTTGGGGTTCCTTGAATTTAACGTTCAAAGTTCTGCAATTTCAGAATTGATTTAGAACCCTAACAATTTTAATATTATTTGAGATATGAACAATTGAGAAAGTTATTTTTATAAATTCTATCAAGCTATCATTCGTCCTCAAGTTCACAAAAATTCCTGGAACCAGATTCAAACCTTGATAGGTGCTCGTTAACAGCGCCATGTTTATAGCACACTAAATAGTACTCCCAAGTTAAAAGCACTTGTAAACTTGTTTTTCCATTTGCGTGCAATTTTATTGGTTGCGTCAGAGCACGGGCACAGTGGTTGGAATAGTTACGATAAGGGATGACGATAACCAAGCCCGATGATGGAGAGTACCGTCGACCGAGACTCGTCGTAAAAAGGGGCTATAAACGTGGCAAACACTCTTAAGGATCGCTCGCGTGTCCTAGCGTGTCCCTTGAAGACGCTCCTTTTATTCTTCACCGTAACGATCTATCCTTTATCCTGGCAGCTTGTCCCTTCGTTTCGTGGCGAGATCCGATCGAGCGAGTGCTATGATGGGATAAAAATAAATCGTTTCCAGACACGTTCGCTCACCAGGGCCGTAGAAACCGGCTGTATACTGTCACCTTTGTGTATCCTTTGTGAAACGTGTGATTGCGTATAACTTACGTCTTTTGTATGCAGTGTTGAACGATGATTCGGAATAAATCAATAGGGGATTGCGTAACTTGTGTTTTCTGGGAAAATTATTTTATACTGCATCTGGGGATGTTTGTGATATATTTAGGTATGATATGTGTGTTTTTATGGTTTTTGTAGGCAATGTCTGATGAGGATAGTTCAATAGAGGATGTAATTGATGTTTGAGGAGAGTTATTTAGTACTAATTATTTTTGACAGCTTGAGGTGTATGTGAGGGTGTGGAGATTTAGGAATCTAGCAATATAGGAAATGGAGAATGGAGTTTGAGGATGTAGGATTATGGGAATGTGGAAATCTGGATTGGAAGAGATGTAGGATCCTAGGAAAGTAGAAACAAATGAGTTTTGAGTGATAGAAATTTAGGAACATGGGTGTACGTGGTCATTACCATGTATTCATATATCCTATGCCTAAGGATGTAGATCCTATACCTAAGGATCTGCAAGTGTGAGGATATAGCAATGTTGAGATTTGGGACATTTAGGTATCTGAAGAGTTAGAGATCTGGAAGCATAGAAATCTAGGAACGTAGAGATCTAAGGACATAGATATCTAGAAACATAGGTATCTCTATACTTAGGTATCTAGAGACGCAGTTCAAGAACGTAGAAATCTACCAGTGAAGGTATCTGGGGATGTAGTGATCTCGTATCGTAGAGATCTCAGAATGTAGGTATTTCCAAATATAGAAATCTGGGAGCATAGAGATCGAATAATGTGGAGACCTAGAAATGTAGGTATCTGGGAATATAAGAATCTAGGGATGCAGGCACCTAGAACTAATAGAAATCTAAAAATGTAAAAATCCACAAATATAGATAAAGAATTCTTATGAATTTCTTGACGAAGAATTCTAAAATCTTAAACTTGCACATATTCAATTCTCTTCCACATTTCATCCTCATACATCAAAAAACAATAATTGTATTCATAACATTTCATTGACTCAATTTCACATATTTATCAGCATATTTCTAAATTATTTCCACATTTGTATTGAAACGTTATTTAACCATATTTAAACAACAGATGCATTGAAAAATCGTATCCCGTATTGACGTTATTGAAAGGCGAATGTACAGCGAAAAATTTGTAATTTTTCGAGCACCATACTTCGATAATCCGAGCTTTTTATCCCATTGTTTTGTATGATAGGATTATTTATAAGCTCGACGGTTTATTCGGAGGCTATTCGAAACTGTTTTGCAGTTATTGAAAACGTTTCACCGTTTGAGTATAATTTATCACGATACGTGCTTCAAGCTTCCGTTTTCAATGCGCGAAATACGGGTTTTATCGATGTTTAAAAAAAAAAACTGTCGAGATGTGACTGCGGGAAGCATTAAACGTTAAATGAGAACGGAGTTCGGATAAAATTCAGTTTCGATATTTCTAAATATTTGTGTGGGTGAAGATACGTTAAACGGGGACATAATTTTGTATGAAATTCAACGTGTTAAAGTTTTTAAATACATTTAGCAGCTTATTATCTGTTTATTTAATAGAAGTTTGAGGAAATTTGAATTTCCGGTAAACAGCTTCATAATTTCAGCTGTTTCAAGTGTAAGCTTCAAATGTTTATCAGGTTTTAAGTAGTATAGGTCAATCATTTGTCTAACTTTGAGAACATATGACAAGATTGACACTTCAGAAGATTTTACGATAAAATATACTTAAATAGCAGTTTTAACGTTTGTGTATTTCAAAGTGACGTTTAAATTTTATACATGTTTAACGTGATATCGGTTTTCAAGTGACACAAGTCAACCATATCATCCACTCTCGACATTCATCGTTTTCGCATTTCTTTGATAACGGCAGTTGTGATATGGAAGTTATTAATCAATAAATTTTAATACCTATCAGTCCATCCGAATCGAATTTCATGCATTTATACTGATTCGTGATAGCTGATAAACTGAATTTCCTTCGCACGGATCATGTTCCAAGTAGATCAGATCAACCATTTCTCCTCTCACCTTTTATTCAAATTATTCGGCGGATGGTATCAGATTATTTGTAGCACGTGAGCAATCATTTGTATTCAGTCATATGTATATTAAATAATGTATATTAAAATCAATGTTCAAAATTAAAATCAATCAACGTAATAAAATATTACAAAATCAATGTAATACATTGTCAATGTGTTCTGTCAATGTATGTACATATGTGTTATTGATTAATCAAAAATATATTCACTAAGTTGTACAAATTTTTAATATCCCTGTTGAAGTATAACATCAATTTCAGTCTCTATAAATAATATAATAAAAAAATTCATCAATTTATTACATCAAATTTTTATTTAAAATATTTGTTAAATAATTTAATGAATAAAATTGTGTGTATCTATCATGTGTATATTACAGTGAATTAATTTTGTAGTTCATCAATAATCAATCAAATGAAATTAGAACGAAATAAAATAATCTTACTTATAACTATTTTCCTATACAATAACATTAATTAATTTACAAATAAATAAGTAATCTACACTAAACAAGTAATATCCCCACTCGCACTCACTCAAAAGTCAATTTCACCCCCATAAATCGCTTCCTTACCCTCGCAAGCTGCCATAGTTTCAACTCGGGTGCTCTAAACCTCCATAAGACGCCCCGTATATTTCTCGTCCCTTATTTCCTCCACCCTTTCCCCCCTTTTTACGGTTATATCTCTCACCCCAATTCGCGTCTTTGAATCTGTGCTCTCTTAAACGACGTTGCTCTATCAAACAGCCAAGCAACCCCTCGTAGGCAAAATTTCTCGACTTATGGTTCGCAATTTATAGGGCAACTACGGGGACGTGTCGGATCGGAAGGCCCTCAGGAAGAAACTCGGCTGCAAATCGTTCAAATGGTACCTCGACAACGTTTATCCGGAACTGTTCATACCTGGAGAAGCTGTGGCTTCCGGCGAGGTAAGAATTTACGTATATCTCCTAGTATTTCTTGTTCTCAGGTGCGGAAACGACGGAGGGCGCCACTTTATGTTTAACGACGCCATTTTGATGCTACGTCGCCAGTTAACAGACTCGGAGGCTATTTTGGAGGAACAAAGTGAAGGTGCGAAGTTTAGCTTTTGATGTTTGTGAGAGGAATTTTGGATGTGAAGTTTCGAATGTTAGATGGTGAGGGAATTGGGGGGTTGAGGTGGGGTTGTTGAAGTACTGAACTTTGTGAGGTCTCACTGAAGTATTCAAATATACAAATTCTTAAAAGCTTTTCTTGAGTTACGGAATTCTCTAATTTCACAATTTGAATTCTTAAGTGTCTGAACTCTCAAGTTTTGAAATTCTCATTTACCACAATTCTCAAATCCCTAAGTTTTTCTTTTCCCAACTCCCCAAAGCCCCAAACTCTCATTTCCCCCAAATTTTCAAGCCCCCAAACTCTCATTTCCCAAACTTCTCAAATCCCCAAACTCTCCTTTCCCCAACTTCTTAAATCCCCAAGCTCTCCTTTTCCTAACTTCTCAAATCCCCAAACTCTCATTTTTCTAACTTCTCAAACCTCCAAACTCTCCTTTCCCCAACTTCTCAAATACCCAAACGCTCCTCTCCCCAACTTCTCAAATCTCCAAACTCTCCTGTCTCCAACTTCTCAAATCCCCAAACTCTCCTCTCCCCAACTTCTCAAATTCCCAACCCTCCAAATACCCAAACTCTCGTCTCCCCAACTCCCCAAATCCCCAAATTCTCAAATTCCCAACCCTCCAAATACCCAAACTCTTCTCTCCCCAAACTCTCAAATTCCCAACCCTCCAAATACCCAAACTCTCGTCTCCCCAAACTCTCCTCTCCCCAAATTCTCAAATTCCCAACCCTCCAAATACTCAAACTCTCCTCTTCCCAAATTCTCAAATTCCCAACCCTCCAAATACCCAAATTTTCCCATCCCAAAATTCCCACCCCCCCAAACAGAAACCCCAGCGTCCCCAGAAACACAGTCCCCAGCACTTTCCATCAACCATAATAGCCCGTGTTAACCCCTCCCCTTCAGAAATCAAATAAACCCGTCTGGCCAACAATAATCAACTCTACTCGGAAAAAGTGATGGACAAACACGAAAGCGATATACCGCTGCCTTTGAAGAATTTAATTTTTACGCAAACGGGGTTGCAGGGAGCAAACAGAGGGGTAATAGCCTACGGGCGCGAATCGTTTTAACTTCAGAATCGAAATCGAACGGGACAATACACGGCTGTACACCTTTCCAGAGGGGTTCCTCCCCTCGGTTAGGGGAAACGTCTTCGCCTTGGGGCGATGTTTGATTCGCCTCCATTATCTGTGCCGACTACCGCGATTTCGGTGCAGTAAGCCAAGAATTCAACAAGCCGATCGAGACGAATCGATTTCCGATCGGATGTCGCGCGGAGCCTTTGCTTGTGATCCGATTGAGATTGCCTCGACCGCGGCTGCATTGTTTCTCGATCGAAGGCATTGTTTTCTATGTCGCAGCCTCGTTGACATCAATCATTGTCTCCGCCATCGACAATTGAACTTCCCGTGTCCGTACAGACACTGCTCCGCACGTGTGCGCAGGACGTGTGTTGCCAGCACCGAATACATTTTGATTTACGTAAACACTCGCCAAACGAAATTTTTCACGGTACACATAAACGAAATCCGGCGTTCCGTTTTTTACCGTTTTTACGCGGGTTTTTTATTTTTCAATTTAACGGTTGTAGGGCAAAACTGCCACCGAATATTTTAGGTATTTTTTTTACTTCTTTGGAGGAGGGAGTTTTTATTTAGGGGACAATTTAATAATTGTTGAAAGATTTACTCTGTCAAAAGCTTATAATCGCTGTCTAGATAAATGTGAACTTTTTGTAGCTACAAGAAGAAATAAATTAATTGAATTACATATTTTGAACATTATCGATAATACAGATCCAATGAATGCATAAATTAACTTAATAAATATGAATGACTATACAGGACGTTCTTTTTGAAGTTACAAAGAAGAATGAATTAATTGAATTACATGTTTTGAACATCATCGATAATACAGATTCATTAAATGGTTAAATCAACTTAATAAATATGAACGATTTTTCAAGACGTTCTTTTTGAAGTTACAAAGAAGACTGAATTAATTGAATTTAATTTTAAATGAAACTTGCATATGTCCACATACGTGAACATATGAATAAGAGACCAAGAGAGTATCTTCTCTGTATTTTCTCAGCAGCTCTACATCATCATTCATTAAATGCAAAGTAAACAAGTCCGATGCAAAGAAATAAAAGCAAAGCCGGCACGATGTAAGTTTCCGGGTAATTTGAAGTTTCGAGGAAACATTACTCAGAACTGTTTCATTTTCCACGTTTGCTTTCGAAATGAGTTTTTAAGTTCACCGGAATAAGCACGCGACCTTATTGCTGATGCAGCTGTGACGTGGCTGAAAATTGAAATAGAGAAATCCCGTTTAACGAAGAAGGTCGAGTCACGTAGTAAAGAAGAAATGATGAAAGATCTCGTGTTCCGTCGAGTAATTATTGTGACAGGGTATTTTCTGATCGAACTATTGGCAATGGTACTCGTTAGGAGAAAATTTGTAGCTACCTACTCTATTAATTCACGGGGAGGTCGGTAGTGAAGGAAAACAAGGAGGAAAGGATAAAGGAAAGCTTGAAATATCCAAGTTGCGTGACACTGCAATTTACGTGGAAGTAGGAAGCCTTTAATCCGCTGTTAGATATTGTAACTTTATCACGAATCTACGGACATGCATCAAGAAAGGACCGGGGTCTTTTGAGAGCGCTATTGTGAAAACTAGGGATGATTTTTGTGAATACATGTGCACGTGTGTACACATATGTTGGTAGACACACACGTGTGTGGATGTGGGAGACTCAATTTTTAGCTTGATGTGTGAATTGTTTGTTTTAGACAATTTTTGAAATTTTAGGTAAATTCAACTATTCTCAGTTACCTTCAGCTGTCATCAGCTACTCTCAACTACTCTCAAGTACTCTCAGCTACTCTCAATTATTCTCAGTTACTCTCAAGTACTCTCAGCTACTCTCAACTACTCTCAATTATTCTCAGCTAATCTCAAGTACTCTCAACTACTCTCAATTATTCTAAGCTACTCTCAATTATTCTCAGCTACTCTCAATTATTCTCAAAATATTCTCAGGTACTCTCAATTATTCCTAGCTACTCTCAGCTACTCTCACCTACTCTCAATTATTTTCAACAACTCTCAGTCACTCTGAGAAGCAACTCTCAATTATTCTCAAAGTATCCTCAGCTACTCCGAACTACTCTGAGCTACTTCCACTCTCAATTATTCTTAGGTATGAGAGTTATTTCTCTCTATCGTCACCACTGTCTATAAATCACATATGTAATACTTGTAGCTCATACATTACATGTACAGCACCATACTGCTTCACACATCACATCTATCATCCTAAACACAATTACATACAATCAATATAAAGATACTTATCTCAAATTGTCGTAATAAACCATATATCACTTCCAACATCAAAATCTTCCATCAAAGAGCATCCATCACTTCAACCTAAAATATTCCAAAACACCCGTACAAAAAAAGATACGACCACCAAAAACTTGATGAAACTTTCACGAAATTTAAACCGCAATCCGTCACCAACCACAGCGAATACAGTATCCTTGAATACAGTATTGAACCCCGCCAAAAATGAAACCAAAAAAGGAAGATAGGGAAATAGAAAAGCGATCGTAAAGTTGCTCGTTGAAAATAAATCGAAGAAAAATACGAGGAAGCCCGGTTACCGGTTCAATAACAACGGAACGCGCTAGGCGCGAGACACATCGATCAAATGCACCGTACACGGCTCGAGAATGTAATGACCCGTAGGAGAACTGCAGCCACGGGCCACGAGATTATCGACGACAAGCGCGACAAGCTCGACAATCATTTCGCAATTACGAATGCAGTGAAACAGAGGGCCAAGAGACGAACGGACGCGAGCCGTTGCAACACGACGGAAATAAATCGATCGGTGATTGATCGCAGCCACCCGCGAATCTTGCATAGAAACGAAATTAATGCACTGTCAATCGCGTGAACGGTAAAGCGGATAGCCCGCCGCAGCGATTTCCATTTTCCACACTGAATCATTAATTTTAGTTAGCGGAATTAAAGGATATCTTGCGTTTTAATCGGGTGACGTTCACTGATGATGTTACTGCGGTAATCGCTGATTTTTAGGTAGTTTTTTAAATGCAATAGTGGGATTTTTTGGGGGGAGAATGGCAGGGGTGGAGTTTGGAAATTAGAGAATTTGGGGGTTGGAAAATTTAGGGTTTGAAGAATTTGGTAGAGTGAGAATTTGGGGTGATGGAAATTTGGAAGCTTTAGAGTTTGGGGGTTTGAGAATTTGGGGTGATAGAAATTTGGGGGAAAGAAAATTTGGGGGAGTGAGAATTTGGGAGAGTGAGAATTTGGGGTGATGGAAATTTGGAAGCTTTAGAGTTTGGGGGTAATAGAAATTTGGGGGAGTAAGAATTTGGGAGAGTGAGAATTTGGGGTGATGGAAATTTGGAAGCTTTAGAGTTTGGGGGTTTGAGAATTTGGGGTGATAGAAATTTGGGGGAGTAAGAATTTGGTAGAGTGAGAATTTGGGGTGATGGAAATTTGGGAATTTTAGAGTTTGGGGATTTGAGAGTTTGGAGGTTGGAAAATTTAGAATTCGAGACTTTGGGGGTTGGAAAATTTAGAATTTACCAGTTTGTGGTCAATCAAATTCCAAGTATGTGAGTTGGTTATTTACAAAATTAAAAATTCTCAAATTCCAATATTTATAATCCATTTTTGAAGACATCTAAAAGCACCATAAATTCAGTCCTTTGTTCCACGTTCCACAGACGGACCTATGATTTAACACGCACCCGAAAAAAGCTTGACAAAAGAAGAAGAGTCCGAAAGGGCAAAAACATAAGCTTCCAACCGACAAACTGTTCTCTGTACCTCTGTTGAAATTGTTATTTCGCATGCAACGCGAACCGCATTCCGAAGTGCTCGCAGCGTGAAATGCTTCTTCGCGAAAATGTCCGGCCATCCTTTATTCTTTCACTCCCTTTTTTCCCGACGCCCTTTTTCCACTATTTACTCGAGGGTTGGGAAGCAAACACGGGGAGAACGTTGGTGTCAGCCAGGGAGAAGAAAAAATATGGCAAAACGCATTCCGTTTCGGTCGAACGGGGGTGAAAAGTGCGCAGGATATCCGCGAGGGTGGAAAACGATTGATCGATACGATATCTATGGCATAGAAGCTGACACTTGATTCTTTTCCGATTCTATGAAACTAGATGAAGGATATTGCTGCCTCTTCATATTTTATTTCCTTCCTGCTGCTGGAGACTATGGTTATGCTTCTTTTATCGCGTTAGTTGGATTGTTCTTAAATATTCTTTATATGGTGGTATAGTGGTATTGTTCAAGGAAAATTATTCGAGGAAAATTATCTGGGTGAAGTTACAAATTTTCACTCTTCCAAATTTTCACTCTCCCAAATTCTCACATTACCAAATTTTCACTCTTCCAATTTTTCACACCCCCAATTCTCACATTCCCAAATTTCTATCTCCCCAAACTCCGAAAAAATTTCCAAATTCCCATCACCCCAAATTTTCACTCCCAAATTCCCATCACCCCAAATTTTCACTCTCCCAAATTCTCACACCCCCAATTCTCATATTTCCAAATTTTCACTCTCCCAAATTCTCAAACCCCCAAACTCTAATTTTCCCAAATTTCCATCACCTCAAATTCTCACTCTCCCAAATTCTCACTGCCCCAAATTCTCACATTTCCAAATTCTCACTCTCCCAAATTCTCAACCCCCCAAACTCTAAAATTTCCAAATTGCCATCGCTTCAAATTCTCACTCTCCCAATTTCTCACTCTCCCAAATTCCCACCCCCCAATTCTCACATTCCCAAATTTCTATCTCTCCAAATTCTCAAACTCTCAAACCCTAAAAACCCTTCCATTCAATATCCCCAACCCCCTAAATTCCCAACTCCCCAAATTGCGTCCCTCTTCAAAAAATAAATAAAAATTTCCCAAAACCCAAAATAATAAAAATTTCCTCAAACAAAACTTTGTCATATTTCACTAAATTAGTTCCAATCGACGCCTCCGAGTCTGTAAAAGCCAACCAGGATCAAGTCAGCTTTCATAATTTTATCGAAGGTCAGCTTCGACGATAAATCACTAGTTTTTATTCTAGCGACCCTACTTGGAGGAGGATGAAAGGGATGAAGATGCTCACATTGAAACTGCAACGACCACAGAATTCTTGCATCCAGCAAAATCAGGACTGCTGACCGAGCTCCGTGACTGAATGCACCCGCTGCATGAAAACCTGCGCACACGTACATACGTACACAATGTATATACACTGTACACATACATAATGTACACGTGCACAGGGCCTCGGTATGCTTTTCGCGAACAAAACAGGAGCTCGGCTCATTTTCGATTTGTTGCGGTCTGTCTAAAAAATGGCAGAACATTGCTCTGTTACGGGGCCGATCTCTTTGTTTCGTGGCAACTGTTCTGTGGTCGGAAATTTGACGAGAAACTTGGAAATGGAGGAAGCAGACGGGAAAGATCGGAGACTCGTCGATAAGATGATGGGATTCTTGGTTGGATGGCTTGATTAGGGGTTACTTGGAAAGGAGACTTGGTATTGTTAGATTTATGGGTTTTTAGTCATTCTTTTTCTTGGCAGTTTTGTGTGTTAATAATTTATGGTTGTTTGGGTTTGATGCTCTTTTGTGGTCTTTGATCAATAAAACAAGAGTAATTGTAGTATTTATTTGAAATTTTTAAGACTCATTGTAAGGAAGATTTATGGTTTTCTATTAATAGGAAACACGTTCTTTGAACTTATATTACTCTTCATAATAATAATTACAATAATTATAATTACTGGTCATAACATTATGGACATTGATCATTTTGCAGAGAAATATTGAAAGAGAATTTAGATCATTCTTTTTAATAATTTTTTTTTAATGAAAGGCAACATTAATTTTCTAAAAGTTAGTGCATTTATTATATTATTACTTAGTATATTATTTAGTACCTCGTTTAAAAATTTGTAGAAATAATTTCAAATCCTTTAACCAAGTCTGCCAACAAGTCAGTACTGCACTAATGAAATTAATAAAACTGATCGTTCTTAAACATTACTTTACAAAATTGAAACCAGACAATAAAAATTAAAACAGCAAAGAAGATTGATCATAAAGAAGTTGAGCATAAATTATTCATCCAATTATTGTAGATGTATAATCGAGTCTTCTAAACCAAGAACCCGCCATTTTGTGCGCAATTTCAGAAAAAGTGTTTAACTTCATTCAATGTCTTCAACCATGTTTCAATTGATTTATGCATTTTTTCAGATATGGCAGAGCGAGCAGTTGCTGTAAATATATCACCGCAAACACCGAGGAAAATAATGAAATGTGCTTTCCCCTCGGAACACTAAAGCGGGAGAAAATATCACGCATAATTTTTCTTATTGCGTTACCTTTGGAACGGCACGAAAATAACGCGTATATTTTCTCTAATTATGAAAATATTTCGTGAATGATATTTCTTCATTTTTAATTTATAATTTATATTTCTCCATTCTTCAATTTTAATTTTGATATAATATAGTTTTAATACAGAAGAAATGTATATGTTCATTTTAAAAAATAGTTTCTAATAATTTTTTAATCTCTAACTTCAGAAGCGATGCTAAATAACTGATGATAATATTTAAACCATGAATTTATGTTTAATTTACATATTCACTGACATAATTCAGTTCCTACTATCATCAAGTTAAAGATATTTATATACTTAAATTACTACAAACGTTCGTTTAATATCAACCGTAAATGTTCCTTGAATAGTGACGTTTTCAAACGTTTGTTAAAATATTGACTTCAAAAATATTTGTCTGAAATTGACTTTTCCATACACGTTTCTTTCATACCCCTCAAATATTTGTTCCATATGTGTTCATAAAATTATCAAAGGTAAAATTTTCGCAGTCATAGTTCCTCGGTGTTCGCGTAATGCTTCGATTAATAGAAATGTTAAGGTACTAACGCGTCAATCTAACGAACTCATCCACGAATGATTATACTAACTAATGAACAGGTACGTAATCTCGGAGAAGGAGGTAACACCTGTCTGGATTCGCCAGCACGCAAGGCAGACTTGCACAAACCGGCTGGGCTCTACCCCTGCCATCGACAGGGTGGAAATCAGGTACAAATTGACGTGTGGAAGCTGAACGAATCTCGTGCCAGACATATTTTAGCCCCGTCAAGCCGTTTGTTTCTCTGTCAGTTCGTTTTCACGCTCGAAACGAAAACTCGACTTTCCTATTCCCTTCTTTTTCTCCTTTCTTCGATTCGAAATCTGCGATCCAATGCAGCATTTATGTGCATGCACATAAAGTACTTTATTGTTTTCTTTATTATGATGCATCGGTGAAATTTCTTTTACTACAAATTATATCTTCTGCAAAATTTATTTAGGATTATTAGTCACTATGCTGAGGATGAGCACTGTAATTATACCATAGAAGTATATTTTCTATTAGGGTATGAAGTTAAAGACATTTTGATATAAGTATACTACATATGTAGTTTTCACATATTCACATATGCAGTTTTTTTTAATTTTTTAACGCTTCTTAAATTTTAGTTATCAAAGTTTTAAGAACAGGAGTAATTGTTTCACAAGTATTGTTAATGTAAAGTGTTGAAAAATCAGTCACTTCGTATTGAAAATATGAAATTAAACCTTCATATGTGTAATTGTTAAAAGTTCATATAGGTAACTTGAAGTGTCAGTATTTCAAAATTGTTCACACATTAAAAATCATATCACAAAGCAAATATCTATACATAGCAATTTTATTATTCACCAAATCCTTCCACTAAATCAAATCCCAAAAGTCGATTTCTCGTTTCACGAAGTGCACTAACCCTCTAACGCTTCGCTCACGCTTGCATGCTACACAATTTTGCCTCCAAATTATGCGTTTGTGTTTGCTGTGTGGTTTCGTATTTTCGTCTTCATATAGGGACCGAAGATAGGACCAATTTCCTAATAGTTTACGTAAGATACCGAATATTGAATTGTCCCGGGTCGTAAAATGGTTAGTAACCGTTTGCAAATGTTTGTTGAATTTCGCTACAGATCAGGCATCTGGTTAGCAGCATATGCATAGACTCACCAGGGAAACCTGAAGACTTGCACCAGCCAGTGGGTTTATATCCCTGTCACCGCCAGGGCGGCAATCAGGTACACGAATTCGAGATTCGAATGCAACGAGAAATTTACGGTTTAATTATGGGGCACGCGGTGATCTAATTTCGCTTTTATTCAGTTTTTGTCTGTGAAGGTCCTTGATGGTGATGGGATATTCCAAAATCTACTTGCTCGTGGCTTGTTAAATATATGGTAACTTAAGTTTGTATACAAAAATTGTGTTCCGATGTGTTTTGTTAAGCTACAAGAAACAGAAGATACTGTATGTTATCATATATAGGTCACTGCTATTTTACAACATTTATATTATGATATTAACATTACTATAAATATTTGCTGTCTTAAAGACACTGTTTGATACAATTATAATTATATTCTTCTATGAAGAAGAGTTCTTGCAATTTTGAGGTTATGATTTCCTTCCATGAAGAATTTTGAGGTTATGTCTTACTTGCACTTCATAGCTGTTCATCTGCAATGTGTACGATTATAATGAATTAGATATTGCTTCATACATTCAAATAATAATGGACAGTTTAAACAAATGTAAAAGATCAAAGGAATCAGTATATTTCACTATCTGTATCGTTTTCCATGAAGATGAAGTTTTAATGAAGAGTCAGTTATATTTTTAGTAAATGTACCAAGTTTGAGTTGTAAGAGGTGAAATTGGTAAATCTTCTCCTTCTAACTATTTATACTGTTCAAGAAGTATCTCTTCTCTAAACTATTAGACATTAACATTGTCAAAATAAATTGATATCTCAACCATCATTTAATGTCAACCTACAATAATCTCAAAGTGTACATATTAATCTACCTTCTTCACATATTTATACATTCATATTTATTCTGTATATTAAATTCCCCCGGCATGTTTACATATTTACCTCGAATATTTACACAATAATCCCTTGAATCTTTATATCTTAATTTCCCGCGTACATTCATGTCCACATATTAATCTCCCTCGTGTTTATATTAATCAGCCTCGACATATTAATCAGCCCCGTACACATCAACCCCGTTAATATATCAATCTCCGTACGTTTCGAAATCAATCAAGCACTTTTTCCATGAAATCCAGAAGCAGTAGTTTTGTGCGTCATCAAAGTCTCATTAAAATTCCTGAAAACTATTTGCACACGTTGCCCGTCGTTCCCGGGCGATTACTTACGATAATCACTTCGGTAGAAGAAAACAGGTGCATTAACCGACGACACATTTAGCCGGCACGCTAACTTGCCGAGTCGTTTCGGTGCAATTAGTAAGCTCGCTAATCTGGCTCGGTCGGTCATCAATCGTCACTGCAGGTTTTTCGCGATACGATGACCTCGGGGGCTACTCATCCTCTCGGCTATCTGTTCCTTGTCGTCATTTTTAGTTTCCATTGTGTGCGAATTAATCTTCCTGCCTGTGGGAACCACCACACCTGGCTGGAAAATTATTGGTGCGGGTGTAACTGCGCGCTAAGGCCGAAATAATGTTCGCTCGGCTGGCTATGATGTATCTTTCAACGGCTATTGATAGCAGGCATATAGAGCTGCTGATAAATCGATCCTTTGGCCCCGTGTCTGCGACTTTTACCACCTTTTAACGCTTTTGCTGCGACGATAAATTTGCTCGAAATTCCTGTACGCTCACAGTTTCGACGCGGTTCTCGATTATTTTCGTAATTAGTTGCGAACGCCGTGTACTTGCGATTAATTACGGTAATTCGTAGTTTTAGGTTACTAGTAGGCACATTTTAAATAATCTTTTTAGTAATACTTTTTTTTAGGTACTTTCTCAATTTTTAGGTTATAATTATAATATAAATATAAAGCCTGTTGAACTATGTAAATATAATATATAGGGTGTCTCACAACTCATGTAACTCCCGGAAAGGGGTGGTAGAGGACGTAATTCTGAATAAGATTTTCCTTTGCGTAAATGGGGTGTAAAGCTTCGTTTTTGAATTATTAAGCAAAAACACGGACCAATCAGAGCGCGAGGATTCGGCGCCAATCGCGGCGCGCAGTCGCGAGAGCGACGCCTCCGAGCATAATGGCCGACTGGGTGTAATCCTCGCGCTCTGATTGGTCCGTGTTTTTGCTTAATAATTCAAAAACGAAGCTTTACACCCCATTTACGCAAAGGAAAATCTTATTCAGAATTACGTCCTCTACCACCCCTTTCCGGGAGTTACATGAGTTGTGAGACACCCTATATATTATATTTACATAGTTCAACAGGCTTTATATTTATATTATAATTATAACCTAATAGGATTTATATTATAAATATAGCCTAATAGGATTTATATTTACTGTCCACTTGTAGTATGAAAGGGTTTATATTTGCAGTACATCTTCAGTATAATAGGGTTTCTATTTGCAGTACATTTGTCACATAATATTCTATACACATATTATTCACATTGCATTTGTAGTCTAATAAGCTTCACGTTCACAATACTTCCACTTATACATACATAACATATGATGCTCTTGTACTACATTTTGCTAACCTGATTTCTGCTTCAATATAATTTTACTTCTCCTAAATGACAACTTTAATATACCATATTTAAAATTGACTAAGATCGTTCTCACCGAACCAGGTCAAATCTTATAACAATTTCTACAATAAATACGATACACCACTCGAAACCATCGAATAAATAGAACATTATCCCCGCCACAATTTTTCATCGCTTGTCAATTCTATTCTATATTCTAACATTTCCGTATGCAATAATAAACACATGATGGACGTACATTAAACAAAATTCATATCGAAGAAAATACATTTGGAAGTAGGTGAATAAGTAGAACAAGTCAATAGCAGGTCAGACAAGTGAAACAGCGACAACAAATAGCTCTGTAAGTGGAATAGGAACACGTAGTCGGACAAAGTGTTCGATTTACAGCGGACGAAAACTGTAGCCGATGCATATTCAATTTACGTTTATCGATTTGTTTTACTTGTTATTCGGTGGATTTCAGTTCGTGACTACGCACAATCAATCTATTTCGAACGGTATGCATATCGTTCAATTTTCAACAAAACGTTCTAGTTCTATATAGAAATGTTTCTAGTCGAGTGTTTTCATTGAAAACAGTTTTCTGTGTTTCACATTTTTGCGATGATTTATGTTCTTTGCGGGTTCTTTTTAGAATCTGGTTTCTAGAATCGATAGTCTGGGTTGTTCATTTTTTACTGTGGATTCTAATTTTAGTATAAATGAATTACAAATTTATAATTTACAAAAATTTGCAAATCTTCAAATTTATAAAAATGTAATACCATGTTCATTTATAAAAGTGAAACAGAATAATCATTTACAAAAATGAAATATCATTTTTCATTTATAAAAATGCAATACCATTTTCATGTATAAAAGTGAAATAGTTATAGTCATTTATAAAAATGGAACAGTCTTTTCATATATATATAAATGAAACGCTACTATCATTTATAAAAATAGCATTCTCTCATTCACGAAAGTGAAACATTTCGTTCGTTCATAAAAATGAAGCAGTGCATTTGTTGAAACTATCTAGTACCATTTACAAAAATTAAATGTTCAAGTGAAATATAAAAACTGACCTACTAGAGAGTCAGAGATAATAACAATCTCACACAGAAATCTTGATACGTTGCTTTCTATATTTAAACTACTTTTGACTGTTTTGAAAAAATCCCAACATCCATTATGATTTAGAGCAGCCTGAAGAGAAAGCGTGACAAGAAAAGAAACCGTGAAGAATTAACATAAAATTTGAAGAATGTAGCATGAAAATCGAGCTGGTTTCCAACTTCATTACCCCATTTCTCGTAACTCTCGGGCGACGTGAAAGGCAAGAAACAGCGAAAGGTAAAAATTTGGTGCGCGTCGAGAAACACAAAACGGGGCGGAGAAAAAAGGAAGAAACGGAGGTGGAGCTCGTTAACGTGCGAGACATGCACTGTCACGTCGAAGTCCGTGTTGGAAAGGTTAGCCTCATAACCGGCCACTCGTCTCGTCATTAAAATCACGCAGACGACGAATCCCAGGTCGCGACGGTTCACAAAAGCCCGACATTCCCCCAGGTTCTGACTCGGTTTAACAACCGTGACAACCAGTTACAACCAAAAACACAATCAGTCGCCGCTCGCTCGGGTCCGTAAAGCGTCGCTTTAATTTAGCTATTTGCCCTAGCAATTAAGCCACGGTTTCACGGTAATTAAGCCGCTGCCACGAGCTTTGCCTCTGCCCTGATCAAGTCCTGGTCATCGAGTTTCTATCGGTGTCCATTCACGGACGATTCGTGCGAATGCGTCCGGTTATTGTATGACTGATGGATCGAGAATGGCTATATACCTGAAGGACTTTCGGTTCGATTCGTCCGAATAACGCGGTTCGGGTCCTCTCCATGCTGCTGCGGATTAATGGATGCTTTTTTGGGGCAGGAAGGCAAAGTGGAGGGTTATTTGGGGATGTTTAGTGCTGGTTCACTGTGTCGAAGGGAATATTAAATTGGGAACCTGTGAAAAATTGGGATTTGTGGATTTGGAAATTTGGGGAGGGGGTTTGGAGATTTGGAAGTTTGGTAACTTTGAAATTTTAAGTTGGGAAATTTGGGATTTGCGAATTTAGGAATTTGGGGAATTTGGGGAATTGACAACTTGGGGATTTAGGGATTTTGGGAATTTGGAGATTTGGGAATTTAGGGATTTGGGAATTTGGGCATTTTGGGAATTTGGGGAATTAACAGTTTGGGGATTTAATTTGGGGATTTTGGGAATTTGGAGATTTGGGAATTTAGGGATTTAGGAATTTGGGGAATTAACAATTTGGGGATTTTGGGAATTTGGAGATTTGGGAATTTAGGGATTTAGGAATTTGGGGAATTAAGGATTTAGGGATTTTGGGAATTTGGAGATTTGGGAATTTAGGGATTTAGGAATTTGGGGAATTAACAATTTGGGGATTTTGGGAATTTGGAGATTTGAGAATTTAGGGATTTGGGAATTTGGAGATTTGAGAATTTAGGGATTTGGGAATTTGGGAATTTGGGGAATTGATAACTTGGGGATTTAGGAATTTTGGGGATTTGGAGAATTGACGACTTGGGGATTTAGGAATTTTGGGAATTTGAGAATATGGGGATTTGGAGAATTGACAACTTGGGATTTGGGAATTTTGGAAATTTGAAGATTTGGGAATTTAGGAATTTGGGAATTGACTACTTGACAAACAAATTTATAAATGATTATACTGTTTCAATTTTATAAATATATTTCATTATTGCAAATGTTCATACTATTTAATTTTTAAAAATATAAATATTCAGAATATGTTACTACGTGTTCACTGACTACACCTAACCTAAAAGTAAGACATAACCTAAACTCGATTAAACTCTATTACAATTTTCATCCCAAATTGAGGAGTGTTACATCATAAATGGAAAGCGATACAAATTAATTTATCCGATTTTACAAGGCACAGAAATGTGGAAACATCGCAGTAAACACAGCGAGATGGAATATTCGCTTCATGGATGTTTTCGAGAATCCCTTGGCAAATGTAATTTTAATTTGAGAGGTAAAATTGTTCTCCAGAGTTTAATCTCTGTGATGGTATTTTAAGCACTGTTTAAGACATATTTTGTAATCCTTTATGAGGGAAGTACAGCTATTTTCATCTCATTCATCTTTGATATCAGGTATTTCAATAAACATGGAAGGTTGCAATGTTTCGTGGAATTTTTGATATTTCATGAAACGCTTGTAGCAGCAGATTTACACTGAAATTAATAAGAAAATAGCCATAAACAAATACTTCAGAAATTTATAAAACCACTACTTCAGATTTGCATTAAATAAAAATAGAGATTGAAAATAATCCCAGAATTATAAACAGAGACTTTAATTTCACTAAAAATACGAGGTTTAAAAATTTAACAAGGCATGAAAAATTCGTCTCACATTTACAGTGCAGTAAAATATGAAACACAGTAAAATATAAAAATTTCACAACTGCAATTTTACGTTTTGTAATTCGCAACGTAATAAAATGATTACAGACAGAATATAGTCAGTGTAAATAGTAACGATCATCGATTAATGCTAGTTAGCGCCAGCAATGTCAACGATGCTCGCTAATTGACATCTCGGTGATTGAGGGTTTATAGACGATGGACAGATTGTAATTAGACCGGACAAGATTAGTAACGGGTAATTATTGATAGTTAGGTAACCGATAGCATAACGATTGATTGACAGAAGGAGAGCTTCTGTTTAGACAAAGGTAGGTTGTGGGTATAATTATTGGATCACTGGCCTATGAATGAATTATTGAACACAGATCCGAGTATTCAACGGTGTCTGTAATTACATAATCACTGTTATGACTATCGATTCATAACACTAAATCAGCTTGTAACTATTGTTAGTGAACTAGCTGTGGTAAGAGCGAATGCTCATTTTACACTGATTATTCTTTAACTACTATTTTCTGATATGCTTCTGATATGCTTGATATGCTTCTGCAATCTTTTTTACTAATTTAATGAATGGTGAATTATGTCGAACAACTTGTGCAATAATTTCTTATTCAACTGTAATATAAATACAAATTTTTGTTGAAAATATATAAAGTTTAGACAGAAATATGGTAATCGATTTTACATAATTTTGAATAAAATAAATGTTTTCGTTAAATACATATATAATGAATATCTGCCTGCCCTCATTATTCAGAATTAGGTTATGTTTCGATAAATCACCACATCCATAAATGTACACATTAATCACAAATATAAATTACTTTCCTACATCAGAAACATTAAATATTTATTTGCAATAATCAAAGATTTATTAAAAAGAATCGATAGAACTCTTACAGTGATTGATTACTCTTATGTCGTTTACAATATATATTAAAATAAATTGTTACATACACGCACACATAAAAATCAATTTATTCGTTTCAATTTCCTTCTAACCCGACAGAAATTCAATTTCAGCCTTGCATAATAAAATCGTAGGAAAAAGATCATTAAAAAACGGTGAGAAAACAGGTGTCGTTGATTTTCGAGGATCAGAAGGTAAATTACTTTGCGACAGGCTGATATTTTTCCGAAACGGAAGTTGTTCGCATAATTACCGTCATTTTCTTACTGAACATGCTTTATGGCGGTTTGATGTATCCCCCAACGACAAAATCGATATAGATAGTAATGCTTGGTTGTTAACGTGCGGTAACTCGTGCATGGCGTTAATACCCGCTTTTCATTATCCAGAATCCTGCTGCTTTCGGGTCTACAAGTTGCACGACAGCGGCTGGAAACCTTGAAATTTTCAACCTGGATGGTTCTGATAGCGTGATGGCATACGTGTTACAATTTGAATAAATATAAGCCATTGTTGGACCGAGGACGCTTGTTATTTATCGCAATGAGTTCCTTGCTCTCTTGTGCGAATACAAATTGAAATTTTATAGTGCGTGATGGGGTTAGAGTTTTTACGCTATGAATTATCTACGTTCCGAATTTTCTACGGTTCTAATTCGTTACGCACCGAATTCTCTACGCGTCGAATTCCCTACGCGTCGAATTCTCTACGCGTCGAATTC